TTTTTTGAATCTGGGGTTCTTGAGAAATCATGAAATTACATTAAATGAAGCCACATTTGGTACTTATACTTATTATAGAAATTTATTTTTAAATCCTTAAAGTGAAGTGGATTTTAAGGGGAAGAAATAGGAATCCATCGCCCACAACTAGCACCATCACCACCCCCAAAAATTAAAAGCTCAAGTTTTCCCAGGTTTTTTTTTTTTTTTTTTTAAAAAAACAACTCCATTTGAGTGAAATTATGAAGTAGATTGATGTATGATACCCTGGTTGATATAGTTATTGACCAATGAAAGGCATGAGAATAGCTAATAAAACATGCATTCACCTTTTTGGATTTATTTTCATTCATAGGAGATGACTTTTTTTTTTTTTGTCTTTTTTTCGTGTCCGGCAACGGATCGCAACCCTCAGTGTTGCGCCCGTACCGGACCGGGACCGGCAACGGGATCGCAACCCTCAGTGCCGCATCCACACCTCGCTCAGCCAGTGAGCGGGAACCGGTCTGTATGTGGGATCCGAACCCTCGGCGGGAGCGCCGCCGCGCTCCCAAGCAGCGCACTGTAGCAGTGCGCCACCGGGCCGGCCCGCAAGAAGCTTTTAGTATAAGAGCCTAAGCCTCTTCCCTTCATGCCCCAAAGATATCCATTATAAATAGTTTATCTTTCCAGACTTTGTTTGCAAATATATACATTTAAAACCTTTTTTGCTTTAATTTGCTACTTGTTTTTTACTCTTACTGTGTAGCATGGACATCAGAGTAGCTTCATTCTTTTTAAAAGCTGCATTGTGTATTATAGTGTATGTCTGTTTATGGACATCCCTTGGCGTAGGCTCCACTTTTCCTCAGTAGAGAAAAGGATTAAGAAGCTGGGTGTAGAGTTCCTTTCCCTGAATATTTACTTGAGAGAAGAATTTAATATAAATGAATTAGAAGTGCAAATTGTAGTGGGTGCAGAATGCCTTGGGATAATGGCAAATCCAGGTCACAGCTGGGGAGGATTGGTGTGCCACTGATGGAATGGTTCTCTGGGTAGATTTATGGAGTGTTCTTACACCAGGCTGGGATTAGACTGGATCTGAGTTTCATAGCAATTTAATACTGCAGACAAATAGTCTAGCATTTCCCCTGTGGACTCCTGGAGTGAGTGAGTGCGGAGGGGAAAAGAAGGGGGCTGAGACTGCACATCTGTCTCTGAGAAGGTTCGGGGTCAGGGGGTAGAGTCTCTTGATTAACCCTGGTACTGTCTTTGGGAGATTGAGACACCTTCTAACACCAAGGTTGTGATTTGAGGGAAGGAGTTTGCAGAGTATTTTAGGGAAGCTTGGGGTATGGTGGGAAGAATACTCACTTAGGACTCAGGAGATTGGAGTTCATTTGGGAGACTGGAGTTTCTTGGACCAGCCCTTCTCCTCTCTGGGTCCTTAGATTTCCTTAACTCTTAGATGTGGGATTGGGCTAGCTGGTTTCTAGGGATCCTTCCAGTGGGAAAATTGTGAGTTTTTACTTTGCCCAGCTGTGTTCTGAAGTGTGTTGTAGTCCTTGCCTTCCAGGAGCTTGCAGTCTAGTATAATTAGACTGTTAATCCCAGCTCATTCCTTCCTACACAGTAAGAGGATATCATCTGATGAGCATGAGAAGGTGAATAATAAGAGATGGCAGCAATTTAGTCCCGTTTACATAGGCACTTCTCAGTGGGTTGAGGTGAAAACTGCCACCTGGAGAGAATCTTTGCCTTAGCCACAAGTACTTTTCCTTTGACTGGTAGAACCATCACTGATATATAATTTGCCAAGTGCTTCATGTACGAAATTTCCTTTGGGACAGCCCTTTCAAAATCTCTGTTTATTCTTCCAGGTTGATTGCAAAGATAGTTCTCGTAACTCCACGAATTCTGAATTTGCAGCTGAAGCTGAAGGTCAGAACGATGCGATAGAGGAACCAAACATGGTCCAGAAAAGGAGGAGGGATAGACTTCGAGACCAAGGCTCCACAATGATCTACCTGAAGGCTATCCAGGGCATCCTGGGGAAATCGATGCCAAAAAGGAAGGGAGAGGCTGCCACTAGGGCAAAACCAAGCTCAGGAGAGCATCCTACCCGTGGACAAGAACCAGCCAGGAGTGTCATGGTCACCACTCCTCAGAAAGAATCAGCCCCAGAGGTCAGAGTGGAGGAGGAAAAGACTGTGCTAGAAAGGAGCAGCTTCTGCAACAGGAGAGTGATTATAGATCCTCAAGAGAAACCCAGCAAGGAGCCACTTGGTGACCGAAGGACAGTCATCGACAAATGCCCTCCACCCCTAGAGTTTTTAGATGACTCTGATTCTGATTTAGAAATCCAAAAGGTGAGTAGAAGCTCACACCAGGCATCTGGGTTTTTAATTCTCTTGATTAAGTGTATTTGCTCTTTTTAGTTTGATCCTAAGTCCTGTTAAACTTAACCAGGACTCCAGGAAACTAATTAATGGTTCTCTTCTAGCATACCTTTCAGAGTTATTGATAAACCTCAGTTCAGTGCTTTTTTTTTTTTAAGGATTCATATATTTGTTAGGATATGAGTTTGGCTACTGTAACAACGGCCAAAGTAATAGTGGTTTAAACAAAATAGAATTGGGCTTAAGAATGATGGCACCTCAGTGTCAAAGATCCTGGTGCCTTTTGTGTTGATGCTCTGCTGCCCCTCAACACAGTGTCCACCTTTTGGTCTGAAATGGCTACTGTGTAGGACTCAGTTCATCACGTTGGCATTCCAGCCAGTAGGAAGGCGAGAAGAGAAGAGGAAAGTACATTCCCTCCCTCTTAAGAGCTTGACTCGGAAGTTGTGCACATGGTATCTGCTCACACCTATTGACGAGTCTAGAAACCTGGCTAACACCTTGCTGCAAGGGAGCCTGCAAAATTAACCTTCACGTGGGCACACTTACACCCAGATAAACTTCTATTGCTATAGAAGAAGGGAAGAATGATATTGGAGGGAAACTAGCAATTTTTAACTTAGCTTATAATTGGGGGAGGGGAGGAGGCAACATTCCTCTGCCCCTCCTTTACTACTACTCCTCAGAGGCAGCCCCTCTGATCTCTTTTAGCTCTTTGTTCTAGTACTTACTCATATTTCTAAGTAGTTTTGTACTGTTCATTGGCTTTTGCATTGTAGACATCTGTGGACTTCCTGCTCAGAAGGGGAGAATTTGGTTCTCCACACTCCTTAGTAGCACCCACACCCACAAACACATTGATTTCCCCTTTCTGCAGCCTCCCTATGTCGTTTTAACACACTTTGGGGTTGGATCTGATTCAGGTTTATTATTACCCTGTTCATAGCTGAGTCACATAGTATACTCTGATTACATTTCCTCTCTCATAAAATATTATTTTCCTTGAAGTTCATCATTACTTTGTTTTTAGCTTTAGTTTTCTCCGTACCTGTCACTAATTCATCTTTAAATTGCTAGAGCCATAAAATTCTTCTTAATATTGTCAAAATAAGTAATATGTTCCCTTTTCTTAGAGGTGTACTTAAAGCCCTCTGTTGTGTTGCTCTGGTCTGGACTGCTTGCTCTTAGGCCAGCTGATAGACAGCTGGCTTTCTGGAATCCCCTTTTATGTCTCTCCTTAATTGTGTCTTCTATCCGCTATATTCTGTGTCTTCCCATGTTCTTTTTTGGGTTACTCTCACATTTTGGTGGAATACTAATTCTAGTAGCTTCTTGAGAAAGGGTGCTTAGGAGTTAGTTTTTGGAAAGCTTGTATTTCTGAGATTGACTTTATTTTACCTTCAACCTTGATTACAGGTTTGGCTGGGGTAACGTGGGAGCCCCAAATCTGAGAGGGCACTCACGTAGTGTTTGCCTATTGCAAAGAACTCACCCGCTGGCCCAGTGGGTAGAGACATTGGTTTATTAAACTTATGAGAGTCACTGACAGTGGCCAATCAGTCTGAAAGTCTGGACTGCCACGGGGTAAATACAACAGTTATACAGTGAACAGATCAGAGTAGGGGTGTAAATCATTTTCAGGCTATGTGCAGACCCTCACCCAGCTCACATTACTCAGAATGTGTGGGAGATCTGGCTGAGTAGATATGTAAACCTACTGCTACTGTCCTGGTGCCAGAGTGTGTGTTCGTTTACTTAGGGTCCCTGCTCCCTCCCACTCTGTTTGTCTTAGAGAGGACATGCCTTTCCTTGGATAACTACCTTGGCTGGGGTAGTCTCTCCGAGGGAGGGAGAACTCTGATATTCACAGGGAGGGGGAAATAGTGTTATGTCCAGCATTTACCCTACTGCTGGTTTTGGAATCCCAGGTTGGGAATTATTTTCCTGTGGGATTTCGAAGGCATTGCCCATCTGTCTTTTAACTTCAGGTTTGGTTGAGATGTCTGAAGCTGTAATGATTCCTGAACCTTGGTATAAGATTGTTTGCATTTATTTTTTTTTTTCTTTCCTTCCTTGGAATCTTGAAGATCTCTTTTGATTTCAGGGATCTGAAATCTCATGATGTTGTTATCCACTTTGCTGAGTGTTAGATATTCCCTTTCGTTCTAGAAACCCATGTGTTTTAATTGTGGGGAAATTTCTTTGAATTACTTTGCTGATGCTTCACGTATTTTTCTTTTTTCACTCTTTCTGTAGCTTCTATTATTTGGATATTGGATTTCCAAGGCTGGTCCTGTAATTTTATTACCTTCCTCTTATTTTCTATCCAATTTATTGCTTACTTTGTAGGAGATTTCCTTATCTTTATCTTCCAACCCTGCTGTTTATTTTGTTTTACTTTTCTGCTGTCATGTTTTTATTATCTAACAGTTCTTTTGTTTTATATATATATATATTTTTTATAACATCCCTATTCTTGTTTCATCTTCTGTCATCTCTTTTAGGGAATTAATGGTAGTCCGTTTGTTTGTTTTAGTTCTTTCTGTTTGTTTTGATCTCTTTCTTCCATGTTACAGCTTTTTTCATATGTCTGGTAGTCTTTGGTTTTCTGTTTATGATTAAGAGTGGGAGGATTAAAAAGCTTTTTGGTGGCTGGCTGGTTAGCTCACTTGGTAGAGCATAGTGTTGATAACACCAACATCAAGGGTTCGTATAGGCCAGCAGCCAAAAAAAAAAATTAAAAAAAAATAGTATTTGGAAGCTATGAGTATGTAGACTTTGAGCTTCACTTTTCGATGATCTGGGTGGGTCATTTGTTGAAGAGCATATCCCTTCCCCCCACCATGTTATTGTTTTTAGGCCTTTCCTCTAGGGCTGGTCATATTCCCCAGAGAAGTGTTTTCTAGCCTCCAGCTTAGGACCAAAGGTGTCTGGGAGCTGGGTGGGAGGTCTCAGCTCAGCATTCACTGAATCCTCCTTTTTGCACACTACCAATGCCCTCAATTGACCTTGCCTGGGCCTTATTCTAGAGACCCTCTGTTATACTCTTTTCAAGCAACTTGTCTTTTGTGAGCATGGGGTGGGAATCTAGAGATCTGATTCTTAACCAGCTTTCACCCAGTCCTCCTCATTTTAACCTTCCCCTTTAACTCCCTGAGGGTTCTGAACTGCAAATGCAACTGGGGCTTAAGTGTCAGTTTTCTCACGTTCTGCCAATTAGTTACCAATTAGTTATAGCTGGGCCTTCTGCTTTCCAGCTTCTGCAGTGTGATTGCTGTAACCTCTTGTTCTTCCTGTAACCTGTTGCTCTTCCTGTTCATGTGTTTTGGTTGTGTGTGTTTGTTTTGTTTTGTTTTTTAGATTCTTTACCCTAGCTTTAGTGGCGTTTCAGGAAGGAGTAAAATAAGATGAATTTGTTCAATGCATCCTTAGCCCAGAAAAGTTCTGGGAAATTTTCTTGATAATTTCTTTTTTTCCTTCTTTTCTGGAATGCCTTTTAGTTTTGTGCTTGATCTCTTGGGCGGATATTCTAATTTTCTTTTCTCTTCAGTATATCTTTTTAAAAAATTTTCTGGAAGATTTCTTCAACTTTCTCTTCTAATATTTCTGTTGAATTTTTTATGTCTACTAAAATTTTTAATTTCCAAAAATTTCCTTGTTCTTTAAATGTTTCTCTCTTTTATAGCCTTCTGTCCTTGTTTCATTGTTTCATGGTTGTAATTGCTTGATTTTGCTCTTTTTTTTTGACCAGTAAGGGGATCGTAACCCTTGGCTTGTTGTCATCCGCACCACGCTCAGCCAGTGAGTGCGCTGGCCATCCCTACCTGTGGCCTCGGTGCTACCAGCGCCATACTCTCCCGAGTGAGCCACGGGGCCGGCCCTTGATTTTGCTCTTTAAAGGTTTTTTTTTTTTTTCCTGTTTTCTGTTCTTGTGTTCTTTTGTTTCCTTAGGGTTCCTTTTTTGTTTGTTTCTTCTCATCTCTGCTTTCTTTACAAATTATTAAGGAGAGTATATATGATGATGACGCATACTTTTTTCATTTTGACAAAATTTCTAAGAGTACACTTTTGGTTTTTCGAGTATTCCTTTCTTAGAACCTCCTGTTTTGAGGTTGCTATACCTCTCTTGTCTCTGAGAATATTAATTTAGTTTTGTTTTGAAGTTTTATTCTGCTTTCTGTAGTTCTTTTCCTCTATTTTTTTTTTTTCCTTTTTCCTAAATATTTTGGTTTCTATCTTTTACGGTAGGGCTTTCCTCAGATCTTGGCTATCCAATCATATTTAAAGATGAAGCACTAAAAATCTGAATGAAAGTTGTGTATGCATGGACAGGCTTATCAATTGGTTGGCTTCAGCGTAGAGCGATGTCTTCAGGTAATTTTGTGGATTCCCCAACTGAATCTGTAGCTTGATCCTCAGGGGCTGCTCAGTTTTCCCTGGGAAAAATCTCCTCTCTGGAGGAGGCATACTCACCTAGCTGCTAGTGTTCTGGGAGTAAGGCTGAGGGAGGTGCCTGGATTTTCACTGTCCAATATGTGATGGTACCTCACCCTTGACTATGTTTGTTGTCCCTGATTATTCATTAGTCCCCTTGGGTCAACTTTTCCAAGCATGGGCCCTTTTCTTTTGCTGGGTGGGGAAAGAGCATACCTATTTACACAAGGTGGGAGCAGGGATCTAGGACTCTTAATGTCACAGACTTCAACTAATTCTCTTCACTGCCAACTTCACCTTCATTTTGAGAGGCCTGGTACCTTTAATTCCTGAGTTTTTCTGGAGTCCCACAGTCTGTTTCTGGATTTTTCTTACTGCAGGCTTAGGTTTTGGTCATCTATGATCTGCTTAGCTGATATCATTCATCTGTTTGCTTTCTAGCATCCAATTTGTACCTAATTTGCTTTGCTGTTTATTCTATATGCTTTCTCCTTGTAGGTTTATGCCTTTTCAAATCCATTTCCTGTAATTTAGAA